AATAATAATCTTCGACGGAAAATGAACGTTTTCGAGAGTTAATTAACGGCCGGACAACAGCGCGTCGCATCGCGCTTGCCATCTATTGGAAGAAAAAGGATACACCGGAATATAGCAATTTACTTATCTCCTCTCCCCCCCACCGACTCGACGCGAGTCTCGACTCGTATTTCTCATGCTAATTAAACTCGTGGCCGTACGACGGTTATAAAACGTATATAATCGCGGTTTTTCCTTTTGAACGTAACGAGAAATTGAAATAGAAACGCCGAAGGCGATCGATCCTAACGATTCCTTAATTAATTAACTAAATTAAACGGATTTGAAAAGCAAGTGTTTCGCGGTTCGTTACACGTAACCGGCGTGTTTCCCCGATCCCATATAATGACAGATAAAGAAACACACCGCTATCGTGCGGTATCCAATTTCAATTACCGAGTAGCACTTAATACTTTGCTTACGTGTAATAAAGCCACGATGCCGGGGGGAAAAGTATAAATATACTTGGGACTAAAGTGATACCGGCGGGCAAGCGGTTTCGTCAGTTTATTTATTCTCAGGTCAAGGGAACGCCATTTCTTAAACACGAAGGTCAAGAAGTCAATGAGATCCGGTTGCTCAGGTATGTAACCACGCAAGTGGCCGAAGTCCCACGGGCGTATTCGCAACAATTTCGTTCCTTCTAATTTTCCATCGAATATTTCGGCTTCTAATCTAATTTGTCGTCGAACATCCGTTCATCGTTGATCGTATCGCTTCATTCGTCAAACCGACTTCGTCCTGTTATATCGTTATAACGTCCTGCGTATCGTTATAACGACCGATATCCGTTGTACGGACTAGGCACGCCAAGGAGATGGTGGGATTACCGCATTGGCGAGTTATGCGTTATTGTTTCGCGTTATTGCAAAAGGACGAAGATAAGCATCTGAAATTCCAAAGTTTTATCTCACGATGGCGCTTACGCGCGTTAATTATCGAAATAGTTGACGGTACTCTTATTCAAAAAATAATAATTTTAAAAAAAGTGATGGCCTCAAAAAGGAAGTTCCATTCAATCAACGTGTATCTCGTTATAACCATTAATTATGGAACACCTTGTACATTAGTGTATTTCATCATGTTACACCAGGACGTTTTACACGCTATTTAACGCTTTAATTGCATCTATAATTATTATTACCACATCATTTCCTATTCCTCCTCGTTATTTCGTTTCGCATTTGGTCGACGATTAAACGGGACATCCGGCATAAGGAACAATTCCAAGGATTGCGCTAAAAGCTCTCGCAAATTATGCATTTCTTCCACGTTTCCCGTTACTTTTATGTTCATCCTCTCGATCACGCCTCCGCTCTTAGCCGTACGGGAAATCATGGTTACCAACTCGGCCAACCTATCTAAAATCTTTATCACGACGGGATTTCACGCGCAATGAGACGCGCTCCGTTACGCTTTGCGTTTTCGATTATCACGCTCGCATCTCTCCGCATTCTCCGCTTTATCCACGCGCACTTTTCCCGAGCGCTTGTTATTTTATACTAGAACACATGGGCTCGTAAGCTTTCCAAAAAGCTCTTTTCGCACGATGCGTATTCCGTCAAATTAAATTTTTCGAATGAGAAAATTTTGAAATTTTTAAAATTTTATTTGGTTAATTAAATAGAAAGATGAACGAACTTTTATCATTCTATTTGTACGATAATATCTATGCGAGTTGTATATATTTTATAATTGGCAACTTTATATGAAAAAAATAGAATGAAATGGATGAGAGTTTATATATGATAATTTCGAGATAAGAAATTAATAAATGTTTAATAGATGCATCTATTGTACTTGATCACTTTGTCATTATCGATCGATGTGTCATACTTGCATTGTCAATTTTATTTGAAAAGTGATAAAATCTATATAATAAAATTTTGGAAATATATTATTTAACTAGATCCTAAAATAAATTATAAATTATAAAACTTCGTAGAATAAATAGTTGGAAAACTTTTTCTTTATGTATTCAATCCCAAATTCTTTCATTTCTTTTTCCTGATAAAATGTTCGAATATCTTCAAGATTCATAAACATAACCACGAGATGATTTGGCTCGCGAAATTGTGCTCAAGTGCACGCGCGCCTAATTTATATCAAAGAATCTTTTGTAGATAAAAACTCTTACAAAAATTACCACTTATTTTAATATATCTACGTAAAATATTTCTAGAGATTCCGTCGTTTAAAAAACTTTAGAAATTTTATCTTAACATAGAGCAAATTATTCGAAATCATTTTAACTGATTTATTAAATATTTTTGGATCTACAAAATTATTAAAAATTAATAATTCTTGTATAAAAATAAATGAAAAAGACCTTTAACCGTAAAAATGAATTTTCAAACTTCGTCAGTAGCGTATAGCATACGATATCAGCGATAGAAGCTACCCCATCGGAAATCTCGCAGAGTCTCCTCGAACGCTATTTTGCCGGGACGTCTCGAGGGACTCGTATCAGAAGCACAGCGCATAATAAAGGGCTCCCTCGCTTGTCTGTGTCCGTAGCGCCGGACATCGGGTGGGTTCTTGTCCCAGCGGCCGGTAACGAGACGCCGCAGTAACTAGAGAGTCACGAGGAGTGAGAACAAGTCGACGAACTGACGGTCGGAAGAAGATCGCAAGAGTGTGGTAGAATCGTGTGCGCGCGAGCACATAGAATCAAGAAGGCAAAAGAGTCTCGGCACTGGGCACCGTGCGTGTATACACGCATACAGGGTGTTCCACGCAGAGTGATGACACGCAGATAGAGGCTGATTTTACGCGCGAAAATGTGGAATGAAATTTTTCCATTTAAAAATCATCACATTTCTTAAACCTTTAAAGCGAAAAAATTCCATTTCCTTTTTCGATTTTTATTTTTGCATACAGAAATACTCTTCGTCCCTTTGCACCATCCATCTTGAGACACCTTGTACGCGCATACATACTACGTACATACAGCGATACGTATAGAAAAGCGTAGGAATCATGGTGTACAGGTTGGCGGTGCACGGTGCCGCGCGAGCTCGTGAACCATGAGCATGCTCGGGGACACGGTGGTTGTCGCCAGTGATGGTGGTAGTGAAGCTGTGTGGTGGTAGTAGCCGTGATGGCTAGTGGCTGGCGCCGCCGGACGTTCAACAATGGTCGTGTCTCCCTTCCCCTTTCCCGCGCGCACAGTCGCTCGGCTCTCTCCAGCCCCTCCACCCGCGCCTAGAGCCCTTAGAGCGCAGCCCCTCTCCCCACCGCTCCGTCGCACCTATGTCTTTACCCCCTCCCCTCGAGCGCCGCCGCCACCCGTGTCCCGCTCGCCGTGGGCAGCTTTAGCTTTAGCTTTAGCGGCGTCGCCCTTCTCTTCCACGCCCGGCTTGTCCCGCCGACGCCTCTGCTCCCATGGTCGTCAAACACCCCCGACTACGGTCGGCTTCGAGCCGAACGATTTTCGCTCGAACAAACTGTACAGCCCTCCAGGGGGAAGAGGTGGCGGAGATAGCGAGCAGGCGTCGGAGCGGGAATTCCTGGCGGCGTTCCTCGTCGCGCCTTTCCGCGAATTATTCTTCGCCCCGGCTGGTGATACGTGTTACCTGCCTGCCCCGATTTTCTTTCCTCTTCTTTCTTTTATCCTTTTTAGTCTTGATTCATTCTTTTTTCTCCATCTTTCTTTTTTTCTTTCTTTCTTTCTTTCTAGGTGGTTGGGATTTGTGAATGGAGGAAAGGGGATGCTATTGGAGGGGGGCAAGCAAGCGTCGTTTGGAAGAATGGCGAGGTCGATGGTTTGAGATTGTGCTGTTGCATGCATAAAGTTTGGTAGCGAATTCTTATGAAATGTTGCATCTATCCGGTATACAATGATTGCGAAAATATAATTATAAGTTACAAAGCTTATATGACATAGGAAATACGTATGCAATTTATTACTTGGTAATATAATTCTTGGAAAAGTAAAACTAAATAAAATTAATAATGAAAAAAGAATAATAATGACGAAAAAATATTTGCTTTGCTGGATAATAGCAATCGTTTCTTTATTTATTTAGTAAAAATGATTATATTTGTAATTATTATAATATCCTAATATTAAATATTTATGTAAATGTTTTGTAATTTTTTTCATTTTGCTAAAGACTAACATATAAAATGAAAATAAAATATAAAGTGATTTAATAAGTGATTATAAAGTGATTTATTAAAGACAAAATATTGAACAAATATCAATTTCAATTTTATATTTCGAAGCATAATTTTTCCAAAGAAATCGATATAAGTTCACATGTACCGGCAAATAACCATGCAATCGAATACAAATAAGATTATCGTCGATTATATTATCTGAGATCGCAAATATCGGGTACTTTTCTGAGTAAAAAAAAGAAGAAAAAGAAAAAGTAAAAAAAAAAGAAAAAAAAAAAAAAGAAGAAATTGCTAATATATAAATATTTACTAAAGTCCATATATAAATAGGTCAGATAACAATCCGTTTCGTGAGCGATTCGAGTCCAACGCTATTTTATTCAGGCAGCGATTGCGCCGTACGGGTAGTGGAGGCGTCACGGGTAGAATGGTATCGGGGTAGGGGAAAGCTTTAAAAGCGTGCAGGTGAGGGGCGGAGACCAGTTGACTTCGATCCGTCGAGCATAACGTGTTGTAAGGAGTACATTAGACACTTTTCTCTTACGCACTCGTTGCGTCCGGAATAGTCATCAGACAATTTCTCTTCTCGTATATAATCAATTCATTCAATGTAATTCCGCGCGAATGTAACCAACTCGCGATAAAAACTGTAAGAACTGTGTGTGACATTTGTGTTGTAAAACATAACATTTAGCCGAAAAAAAAAAAAGAAAAAAAAAAAGAAACGATATACAAAAGTGAACAGAAACGAAAAGAAAAACGAAATATCTCGATCATACGAATCTCTATCGTTAGCTCGTGCGCTCACTTTGGTAGGTTGGTTCGATCGATAAATACACGGGGTGCGTGCACTGGCGTTCGGCAAATAATCAACCGTACGTTTTAGGTGTGCTTGCTTGATCGAATTAATCATCGACCCATATCTTTTTCAACTTTTATCTGCTGCTTGAACCGGTGTCCAGCAAACAAATTTCTTCGCACGTCAACGTCGATCAGAAAAATCGAATCGAGTGGAAAAATACGTACATATACACGCACAACATGAAAGCGATGGTGGTGAGCCCGGTGGGCGGCAGAGTACCGCCAAGTCGAGGTGTCCTGCATAATAGTCTCGGAATCAACGGAACTCGTCGTGACCTGGAAGCAGAAGAAGTAGCTGCTTACTTAACGAAATTGAGATCTCTGGTGCCCGACATGCCGAGGAAACGGAAATTATCGAAGCTCGAGGTTATCCAAAGGGTTATCGAGTATATCTGTGATCTTCAAACAACTCTCGAAGAGACGAATGTGCATAATGAATCAACTGTGGCAAAAACGACGTCAAGACAGCCGTTACAACCGTTGTTGAACGCGACGACGACTGTCCCAACGACGACAACAACATCGACGACGACCACGATAACCGGAATGGTCGCGGAACGGTGACCTGTGTCGGCAAACGAGTTACAGTGAGGTCCAGGTCGCTGCAAGCTTCTCGTCCTCGTGGGCTGACGACTTGACCTCCATGTTTCGGCGTCGAGGAACTGTTCGAGTCTTCTTCAGGGAGTTAAATCGAGAACTCGGCTCGTTGTGGTAACGTTTTGGCGTATGTTGGATAGTGGATGTTGCCTTAACCGTGTTTTGTGCTCGTCCTCCACTGTATAGAAATTTCTCGAAGATTCGAAGGTCGAAAAGGAAAACAGGGATAAGATCTTGGTGCTCAAGTATCTGGCAAAAAGAACGAAATGTTTCGAGAAAAGAGCGACCTAACCTAACATCGAAAACGATGCGCTCGAAGTATCGAGGCGGCGCCTGAGAGAAGAGCGAAGAACGATGCGAAAGAAGGACGACGAAGCGGGCCGATTACGGCCGATCTAACTTCTTTCTTCGAGGAAAGATGTAAATACTTGTACATAAAACTCACCGCATTCCTCGCACGAGATCTTTCTTCTCATCTTCAATCGATTCGCTTCTTTTAGTCCATCCAATTTTCCGCTTCCAACCCCGAGATTCTTGTAATCTTTTCCTAATCCGAGCTGTGTTACACATGTAAACGACGATCGCATTATCTCTTTTCACCGATAATTATCTTATTATATTTTATATCCAAACAATTACGAAGATTGTGTCATTCTCCGATTTTGTAACTTTGTAATTTATCCTTTCGATACAAAATTCGATCAGTGATGAATTCGATTTGAAATTTGAAAAGAAAATGTTTATCTATTGAATTTTTGTCCCAAGAGTACAGATATTTATTTAAAGATCGATGATAATTAAAATCGAATTGATCACGTTTCTAATTGTAAGCATACAACCCTCGTTCACAACTGGCCATGAATGGATTTCCCCCTCCTTTTCTTTAATAGTTTTCGCGTGGAAGAGAAATGTTTATCATCACGTTGATCAGAGTCTGTATTATTTCAACTCCCCCTTGTAGATAATAAAGCGAATTATTTGTATTACTGATCGATTAATCATCGATATTCTATATTATTATTATTATATATTACATGATTATTATTATTATTATTGTTATTGCTTTTCATATTATAATTTAGAGATTTCTCCATAACTATTGTATATTTGCGAAGACTGAAAGGCTGTAAAATATAAGTATACTTGATACATGAGTTTGCTACACTCGCTCATGTACGAGAATAAAATACAAACTGTGTCCATTACTTCTGTTTATATTGTTCTCTCTCATCAAAGATCCGTCCTTGACTCCTTTTAAATTAATCTGTTAAAAATTCATAAACGAAAATAAAAATTATCGCTTATATAATAATTGTAAAAAGAAATATAATTGTACATATTTGCGAAACTTTATTTAACAGACGCAATAAATTCTGGCGTTTCAATTTAATGGAATAGAAAGTAAAAATACTTAACAAAAGATACATTCCAATTTTATATCCATTTAATTTCCTCTTTGTAATTTTCAGAATTTAATTTATATTATATTTTTCTCGAACAAGAGAGAAATTCCTTTTAAAATTTCCTGCGACAAAATTTATCTGTAAAAATTCCCAGCCATTATCGACTTTTTGATTCGATCCCAGCCACAATCCTTTCACCTTTCGTTCGTGGACATAAATCGTTTCGATCGTCGAAATAGAATGACTCAAAGTTACAATTCTCCAACTGTCACAGTATTATCCACCATTACAAGGAAAATAAAATATTCCAGAGATGAGGCGGAAAAAAGGGATATTGTTCCCAATCAAGCTCGAGAATATCCCCCGTCAAACCAATTTCTCCTCGTTACGTCGTTTCCCCGTTTCAGCTGCGTCGCTGAAAGCGATAAATCCGCGAGCGTCCCGCGGAACACGCGCGCAGGGTGGGCTTAAATGGGCACACGTGTACGTAATAATCCTCGCACACGTGCGGGAAGGAGGGTCTCCAGGCTGGAGAGGACCAGGGCCGGTGGTCGTGTCGTTGTAGGAGTCCGCCAACTTCCCGTATTGATCGTGTGTCCCCTGTCCCAGGTCGCGTGCGCGTTCCTGGGAACTTGGAGGCCACGGAATACCCACGGGAACCGATTCAGTCGCGTGTCCCCGGCTCTCTCGTCCCTTCGTCCACTCGAAAGCTTGCTTCGTATTCATATGGAGAGATGGAGGAAGAAAGTATAGTGAAGGGGGAGGAGAAGGGGGAGAGGGTGGCGGACGACTACTACTCGACTATACGAACCACCAGGCTGGATACGACGCGTGTGCACGCGCTAATAAACGAAAGTGGAGGCTGACTCACGACAGCGCACCCTCCTACGCTGGGCTGAAAGAGAGCTGATCGATGCTGGGGATAAGAAGCACGACTCCGTATTACTCCGTACAACCGTCACCTTGCAAGCGTGTAACGATGCTTAAGTGACCGATATACGACTTGTGCTCGCCTACGCGTCGTTCAATCAGCGGATCCTTGGATCGGCGGAAGAGTCCATGAGTTTGAGAGCTTGAGGGATGGATTGTATGAATTTCGTGGTTAATAAAAACAAAATGAATTTAATTAATTAGAAAGAAATGAAAGGTTGTTTGAATACGTACTCGTACAAGATACAAGCGTAAAAGTATTTATTTCAATTCTTTTCGATTATAGTATGTGATATAAATGGGTTTTTTTTTGCAGCTACACGCTTGTTTCCTTTTTTTTTTCTTTTCTTTTCTTTTCTTCTTGTTTCTCATCGTTCGTTTTAATCGTATTAATATAAAAATGGTAAACACTAGTACGCGGGTTTTGGACATCGTTCTATGCTTGGGAAAGAATTTAATACGCGTGTCAATCGCACAATTCAGTAAAATAATAAATGCCGAAGAAGATATAATGCTGCAATTTAAAAAATGCCTTGGAAAAAAAAAATGATAATACCGATAATATAAACTATAGTAGCGTTCTGTACATTTGTTTAAAAAAAAAAAAAAA